GCCAACACTAATTTCCTCTCCACCTTGTCCCCCGAGCACTGCAGACCTCTGGCGGGGGAATGCATGAACAAGCTCAAGTGCGGCGCGGCGGAAGCGGAGATCATGAACCTCCCCGAGCGCGTGGGCACCTTCTCCGCCATCCCGGCTTTGGGGGGCATCTCGTTACCTCCGGGGGTCATCGTCATGACCGCGCTGCACTCCCCCGCCGCCGCCTCGGCGGCCGTCACGGACAGCGCCTTCCAGATTGCCAACCTGGCAGACTGCCCGCAGAACCACTCCTCCTCCTCCTCCTCCTCCTCCGGGGGCGCTGGCGGGGCCAACCCCGCCAAGAAGAAGCGGAAACGCTGCGGGGTGTGCGTGCCTTGCAAGAGGCTCATCAACTGTGGCGTCTGCAGCAGTTGCCGGAACCGCAAAACCGGACACCAGATCTGCAAATTTAGGAAATGTGAAGAGCTAAAGAAAAAACCTGGCACTTCGCTAGAGGTCAGAGGAGATGATTTCTTGTTTCCCAGCCTCCCCCCCGCCCTCCTCACGCCTTTCTCCTCTCCCCCCACGCAGGGCTGCTTGTCGGGCTTCAACGTGCAGTACCCCTTCTCCGAAGCCGCCTTCAGGTTGTGAGAGCCACCCAGCCCCGCACGGTGGCGGGTTGGGTGGATGGATGGGCCGAGGGCGCGGCCTCTGCGCCACCCCGTCCCACCACAGCTAACCCTGGGCGTGGCACCGCCCTGCTGCTACACTAGAGGGGGCGCCCCTCCTTTGTGTGCGTGTGTGTGTGTGTGTGTGTGTGTAATTGCTCTGGATAATCACAAGTCTGACATTCAGTGTGGTCCGCTTTTGACTCCTTTAAAATGCACCCTCCTCCTTATTAAAAAGGAAAAAAAAGGAATCCATACCTATGTCCAAAGAATTGGATATATCATATCCTAGAGATGCTTATAGCTTAGAGAGACTTAATAGTGTGGCACAGTTATTAAGGTGAAGACACAGCGTGTGTGCATGTATCTGGAGACATACATAAATGCACACATACATATTACATATACACATATACGAATGTGTACACACACACACGTACACTGAAATAACTTGTTTTTTCTACACCTGGCTAAGATAGTTCGTCTCTTCAACCTGGAAGGTTTCCAGTTTTTTTTTTTGTTTGTTTTTTTCCTATCTGGCATTTTTTGTTTTTGAGAAAGAAATCATTTAGAACGCTTATGACCACCACCAATTTTTAAGGAGTTGTGACTTCGCATCAAAGGATGCAGTTCTTTTGAGGGCAAATGCTGGGGAGTTAGACATTGTTTTACATAGTTTCAGAAGTGAATGGTAAAGTACTTCCCTTGGGTTGTGGGTTGGACAAAGTAACCATTTTGTGGTTACAGAATTGCTCTGCACATCAAGAATGGTTTGGGTTCAAGATCTAATAATGATCAATGCTAGTTTCTTGGACTTCTGTCCTTAAGAAAAGACATTCTATAGATGGTCTCTGAAATGGTTATTAAATTAGCCTGTTACGTTAAATATAGAAATTAGTGTGTTTGGTGAAATTTTTATAGTATCTGGATCAAAACAGTACAGGAAAAAAAGTAGAAAATTACAAAAGCAAATGATTTGATGGTATATTTTAAAAATCATGGAAAGGTAACCATAGTTAGCTGTTTGCAAAATGAGACTCCAGGGGGTGAATTTAGTATTTGGGAACATTATATGGTCTGGATTGTAGAGTGAGTATGGCTTCCATAAGCTATCTTAAGAGGAGTGTCTGTATATTCTTGTCCATATTATGAGCACTACTTGGAGATGTTTCTTTGGTGAAGTTCCATTATGAATTACTGGAAAATGATGTTTGAAAGGATGGAGACAGGGTTAAAGATTTTTGTTGCTGATCTGAACACAAATCCCAGTATCACTTTATAAAAATTATTATTCTTAGTATAGTAGTATAAATCAAGGCAGATAGCACTTTGGGATTCCAAAAATGAGACGTGTATGGGTAATATTATTGACTACAATCAGTTCCATTAAAATATTGCACTTGATCCTCTTTACATGAGAAAGTGTGTCTTTGTTAAAAGTTTAACTTTACTGCAGGGTGATTTATTGTATTTCCTTTGGTACCTCTGTTTAAACAAAGATTCTAGTACCAGAGTGCAGGTTCTTGTATCTTCTTTGGTGGCTCAACTTAACGTTTGAGTTCTCTTTTAAGGATTAAGATACTATGACTTCTCTAGACATGGAAAACCATAGAAAATTAGATTCCGCTCTACTAAAATTTCTCATGAATACTCAATTGATAAGAAATACATGGTTTTGAACCTTCTCTTTTGAGATGTACATAGAACTATAGGTTTCTGTATTACAGCACTATGAACATGCCATTTTCGGGCATTTAATGGACAAGGACTACTGAAAAGTTTGGACTTAGAAAGTAACCAGTAGGGTTGTTTTGGGTTTGTTTTTTCCTGTGTAAGTTTCTGTGCTCATGTATCAGTTTAAGACAGTTTCATACACCTTTTTTTTTTTTTGGTTCTCTTTCAATAGTTTTCCCACAAGCTTGTTATATGATGTTTAAATTTCCTAGGCATTTTGGAAGCTCACAAAATAGCATAGATTCCTTTTCATTCCTTTTGAAAAGTCTCATGCATAAAAGTTCTGCTGATCTTCCAAAGGTTGGGTGTGGATAGCAAATTAGGCAAGTCTCAACATGTTCTCTTCCTCAGAGTCTCTCTCCTATCAGAGTGGGGATTATTGTTTAAATATTATCAGTGGAACAATATTCTGCCATAGAAAGAAAAAGGCTATGTTAAAAAAAGAAAATTGTCTATAGTGTATGTAGGTCATTAAAAATTAGGAATTGCAAGTTGTAAACTAAAGTATACCTGCAAGTATATAGTTGGAGGCTACCAGACACCTGTCAGTGTGACAGGGACTTATACAACTGAAAGAGAGCTGGAAGAATGGCTTGGAGGTCAGTAAAATGTCCCACTACTGACCTGACTTCTAAGGTGTTTCAGACACTAAATTTACTGCTAAGTGGGGATGGTCACTTGTGAGCTCAATAGGGCTGCAATCTCTAGATTGCCATTTGGAAACTTGGTAGCAAATCCTGATGACTTTAGAATACCTGTTAGCATTTCATCATCTTGACAGGTATTTCTAGTTATCCCTTCCAACATCATGTTCCCTTGTTTGTTTCTTTTACTGAGTCTCATCTCAGAGACTGAGGTATTATCAATTTTTCTATTAAGATAGACTCACATGGATTGTGCAAGCATTCTTGCCTACTTTTTAAAAGTCCAACACTAGCCTGCCTGCCTGCTTCCTTCCTTCCTTCCCCCCCTCCTCCTCTTCTTCCTCCTCCTCCTCCTGCTCCTCCTCCTGCTCCTCCTCCTGCTCCTCTTCCTCCTCCCTCTCTCTCTTTCTCCTCCTTCTCCTCCTCCTCCTCCTCCTTCTGCTTTTCTCAGGGCCTGGACACTGTCTCTGAGGTTTTGTTTTGTTTTTTTCTGAAGTCTAGACCTCTACCACTTGAACAACAGATCTACTTCCAGCTTTTTTTTGTTAATTGAAGTAAGAGTCTCATGGACTTTCCTGTCTCAGCTGGCTTTGATCCTCAGATCTCAGCTTCCTGAGTAGTTAACATTATAGGCCTGAGACGCTGGTGCCTGGCTTAGCCTTCCTTTTAAAGTTATATTTCCTGCTTCATTTAATTTTAAGAGCAGCAATTAATGCTACAGAAAAATTTTCACCCCTTGATTACATATTACCGCTTGGTAATACTTAGGATCATGCACATAAATCATTTAGTTTTTCTATGATTTCAGGACTATATATTTGCATATTTTGCTGTTGACTTAGTCTCTGTAGTAATAGCCACTAATTGTCGGAAGCAGTTGTTAAAAATGCTTTTTAAATAGTGATGTGAAAAACATTAATATAAATGCCAGTGATTGATACTGAGTTCCTAGATACATTAACCAGCATGATTATATAGGCAAATCCTTATAACATTAAGCTACAAGCAAAGACAAACCTTAAATTTTTATATTCACAGCAGTTAGGTTTCTGATGACTTTTTTTTTTACAATATTCCAGTTGGATAAGGCTCAAGGGATAAAGTTATCCCCTGGGCAACCCTAGGTTCTCAGTGCCTGAACATTGTTCAGGTGACATGATTGATCTCAGTGGGACAGCATTAAAGACCACACAGATCTGGCCCCCCTCCCCCCATTAGTTGATTTATGGAATTGCATTAGTAAGAGATGCCTCTTGAGGTTGGGAGAGTTCCCTGCCCCCACACCTGCTCTCTTTACTGCCACAACTTCATAGGGAAGAATTTGAGAAACTGCAAAATCAGGGGAAAGGATGCCTTTTTCTTTTCTTTTTCTTTCTTTTAAAAATTTTATACTGAAGAACAGGACAACTTCTTCTACAAGCTAGGTTGATCTTCTTGAGGCTTTGGTAAAAACTACCCAGGTATTATTTAAAAAATGATAACTTGATTGCAAAGATTACTTTAAGAGAGGAGGGACATAATCTATATATATGCTAACTTATGAGTCCTGGCAAACATATAGACAGTTATGAAAATCTAGTCAAAGCACTCTTTTTAATTTGTGTAAAAATGATGACACCTACTTGCTGAGGACATTCAACTGTAGACCACACAGAAAATAGGTGTCACTCAAATTCAGAATTTGTATAGTTGGAAAAAATATTAGTGAATATTTGAACCTGTCGTAAGGTTTTTGAAGTATGAATTCAGTAATTATGATCACTGAATCAAATATAAATGTTTTATTTCTTGATTTGAAACATTCCCGTTTATCAAGTTATGTGGCAATTTAAAAGCTGTCTTTTCAGATTCCATTTTCAAGAATTAAAAAGATGCAAGTTCTTGTTTTAATACAAAAATGCAAACACATCATTAGCTATAAAGGGAAAGATAATTTTTCAATACAAAATGATAGTATCTTTATAAGTGATAGGAGAAAGAAGAACTCAGAAAAGTTGAGTCTTTAAAGTCAAAGCCACAGATCAGTGGTTTTGGTCAAAGTATTTAATGTCCATTGAAATTCACTTCCCATCGGTATGTTTAATCCAAAGGAGCTAAAGATAGTATATATACATATATATATATACACACATATATATGAATATATTGTACATGGGTGAATATGCCCATCTTTATCTGTCAATTTTAAAATAATAAAAAATAAAATTGGTTTTAAAAGAAATAGTTTTTTTGTTTTTGTTTTTGTTTTGTTTTGGGGTTTTTTTTGTTATTTATTATTGTTATTATTATTATTTTTTTTTTTTGCAGTCCTGGGGCTTGAACTCAGGGCCTGGGCTCTGTCCCTGAGTCCCTGTGCTCAGTGCTAGCACTCTACTACTTAAACCACAGTACCACTTCCTGCATTTTCTGAATCATTTATCGCAGATAAGAGTCTCACCAATTTTCCTGTCTGGGCTGGCTTTGAACAGCA